TGCTTGGTTTGCTCTAATATTGAAGTGGGAGAAAGAATAAAATCTCTGCTGGGTGAGGGTAGAGTTCAAACTCAACACCAGCAGCCTCTGGTCCAGGTTTTAACAGGTGTTTAAAGAATTAGGAGTCAGATGATCACAGAAATATGGTGATTAACTGTGCTGATGGAGGAATTGGGGATTTAATTCCTCTTTTTACCACTGTTGGCTCACCATCAAGTCATTCACAGAATGCAGTGGTGAGGGTCCCATGGGCAGGGACACCTTCCAGCAGCCCAGGCTGCTCCAAGCCCTGTCCAGCCTGGCCTTGGGCACTCCCAGGGATGGGACAATCCCTTTGTTCCCCATTTCCCTGGAAATGAAGAAAACCCCAGATTTCTTGCACTAATTTTTACCCCCCTGACCCTTCCTCCAGCGCTCTGCGCTGTTGTTTCTTCTCTGGGCATTGCAGAGCACATTTAAGCCCTGCGTTAAAATGAGACGTCAAGCTCCTTTTTGGTTTTATTCCAGGGCTTTGCAGGTTTTTGGTGTGATTTTGGTCTCATCTGGGGGGTTTGTCTCTGGGTGTGCTGAGGCAGCAGGGACTGAGCTGGTGCCTTTGGGGAGCCTGTGCACCTGGAGCAGAGAATGCTGCTGTGTGTGCTGCTGCACAGGGGTGTTATTCATCACCCAGAGAGTCAAAAGGAAGCTTTGACAGAGCACCAGCTCCTTCAGCCCTCTCAGAGGGAGGCCAAGCCCAGAGCAAAGCTGTGAGAAATCCCCTGGAACTCTCTCAGTCAGGTCTCTGTCCTCCTGTGCACGGCGCCCTCGCAGCTCCTGCAGGAGATGCTGGGATTTGGCTGCAAAACCCCGAGGAAACAACTGAGCTGCCTGGCAGGGCAGCAGTGAGAGCTGCTCCTGTGTGCAGCTCATCTCTGGCACAGCAGGGCTTGAATTAATTCTCCTGCTGCTGAGATCCTGCTCAGGAATCAGTGATCAGGGGCTGTGGCTCTTCAGCTGCTCCCTGATTTCCAGGAGAGGTGGGACACTTGGAATGCAAACCTCTCTGAGCTCCTGGGACAGAAAGATGAATGCAGGGCTTGAATTAAAGCCTTTAGAGAGATTAAGATATATTAAGCCACACAGATATGAAGTAGAAGTGTAGGTTGAAGTTTTAAGTGGAGGTGTAAGTTATAACTACAAGTAAGTAGAAATGTATTTTAAGTGCCTTAAGAAACTGCATTAGGAGTTCCTTTACTTATATTTTAAGTATAATTATTTATGTTATACTTTAAATTAATAATACTTAAAATAATTTAAATTGTAATTTATATTTGTACTTGTATTTTAAGTATCTATTTTAAGTATATTTTAGGTGCCTTAAGAAACTGCATTTGCAGTTACTTCACTTGTATTTTAAGTATATATTATTTATATTATACTTTAAATTAATAATACTTAAAATAATTTAAATTGTAATTTATATTTGTACTTGTATTTTAAGTATCTATTTTAAGTATATTTTAGGTGCCTTAAGAAACTGCATTTGCAGTTACTTCACTTGTATTTTAAGTATATATTATTTATATTATACTTTAAATTAATAATACCTAAAATAATTAAAATTATAATTTCTATTCATACTTCTATTTTAAGTATATTATATTTTAAGTGTCTTAGGAAACTGCACTAGCACTTCCTTTACTTAAAAAGTAAAGACCCTAAGCCCAGTTTAAAGTTCAGTAACTTAGCTCCAGCCATCACAAAAATGAACAGAGGTGCTTTCCTCTCCTGCCTGCTTCTTTGGGCAGAACCAGACTGGTTTTCTGCTTGAATCTCTCTCTCTGACCCAGTTCCTCGTGGCTCTGGGGGCACAGAGGGTGTTCAGGAATGAGCTGCAGCATTTGGGGACAGGCCAGGTGCTTGGGTCACCTTTAGGGACAAGAAGTGCCCCAGCAGGGCATGGCTTGGGCTTGCTCAGAGGGCTCCAAACCTGTGGCTGGTGGCTCCTGGAGAGTCTCCAGCCCTTCTGGAGCTCCACCAGGTCCCTGTGAGCACTGCAGAGGCATTTGTTGGTTGGGGGCTGTGTATAAACCACAGATGGGATGGGGCTGGAACGTGCCTTGAGCTGTTTTATTTTCTAGCATCAGTTTTATTACATGGTTATGACAATGGGAAGATGCCATCAGCTCACATCTCAGGCAGCAGATCAAGAATTTAATGCTATGACTTGCTTTATAAGTTTTTTGGCTAATCACACAAAGCAAAAGCATATTGTGTGCTTATAGCAGTTCTATCCAACCACTATAAGCACGTGTACCTTTGGTTAAAACAATTCTTGCTTATTTTCAATACAATACCTGCTTGTAAGCCTTAAAACACAATGCACAGAGCTCCATTTTTAAGCTTAGAACTTCCTATTATCTCGCTAGGTAGACTTTTCTGCAGCTTAAAGAGTTATTCTAAACGAGCGTTAATACACACACCATTGTTCTATTTGTCCTTTCTTTTCTACTTCTTACATAATTCTTCTGCTGACTTATTTTATGGCTGCTGCTTAGCTTTCATTGCAGTTCTGCTGTCTCTGGAACCTGCCTTTCACAGCTTTCCCAAAACCCCCTGGTTTTATCAATTCCCACAGCACTTTTGTCCCCCCAGAGGAATCCCTGCAGAGGATGGATCCCTGTGCAGGTGTTGCTGTTCCTGCAAGCACCTCTGCCTGGCTGATGTGCACACAGAGCTCCAACCCCCCTCACCTGGCACGGGGACCCAGCTGATGTCAGGAGGCTGGAATTCACATCCTTTCCCCCTCGCCTGGGCCTTTTTCCCCCCTTCTCCTCCCTAAATAAAAGTTGGAGGCAGCTTAGGAGCTGGCTGCTCTGCAGCTCTTGGAGAACAGGATGGGACTGGAGCAGGGATGGGGTTTTATTGCATTTTGCTTGCTTGGGCTGTGGATGTGCAGATATTTTGTGTGGGATAAAACGTGGTTGAAGGCAGGGGGAAGATCCAAGTGGCAAGGACAGCTCAGACAAACGTGTCACCCATGCAGTGCCTGGTGAGGATGAGGGATGAGGAAATTTCCAGCTGTTTGCTGCTCCTTTATTATCTGCGCTGCTCCCTTGGCTTTGCCATGTGTTTGTAATCTCTCACTGAGGGCCCAAGTTTTTAGAATTGTGGAAACTTTGAAGAGCTGCCTAACAATGGACATCCATTTTCTGTGCAAACACTGGGCTGAGCTTCTTGGTAACCAAAATTTCTGGTTTTATAAAAGCTCGTGCTCCTTGTCCCACTGCTGTTTGTGCTGATGGACACGATGCAGCCAGGTGGGATGGGGTAGAGAATCAGAAAAAGTGTTAAAAATAATAATTGTGGGTTGAGATAAAGGTGGCTTAAGAGATAAAACAAGAGATTCAGAAAAAATGGGGAAAAATAATTGTGGGTTGAGATAAAGACAATTTAATAGGTAAAGCAAGAGAATTGTAAAAAGTGGGGGAAAAAATAATTGTGGGTTGAGATAAGGATAATAGGTAAAGCAAGAGAATCAGAAAAAGTGGGATTGTGGGTTGAGATAAAGGTGGTTTAATAGGTAAAGCAAGGAAAATAAAGCCAGGAGTTCTTCCCCCCATGGGCAGGCAAAGCAGGGCTTTATCACAGATAATTATTTTTTTGGGGAGGACAAACGCCATCACTTCAGGTGTACCCCTCTTTTTCCCACTTCCCAGCACGCTGGGCATGGTTCCACAGGAATCATGGAATATCCCTTGGATCTGGGGCCCCTCCCAGCTCCCTGTGCACCCCCAGGCTGATGAAAGAGCAGCAGGAAATCCTTGGAGTCTGTACAAGCCCTGCCCAGCAGCGATGAAAACCTCCCGGTGTTATCGGCCCTGTGTTCAGCCCAAATCCCAAATGCAGCCCCACATCAGCTGCTGGGGTGAGATTTAACCCTGCCCCAGCCAAAACCAGCACAGCCCAGTTTGCTCTGTGCCCTTCTGGGCTGGTTCATGTTTCTGACACCATTTGGCTCCAGCTACCGAGTCAAAATTCAGAATAATTTCATTAAGGGTTTAAATTCAGGTCTGGCTGTTTCCCTTTTGGAGCCTCCACCTCTGCTGACGTGAGCAGGAGCAGATTAGGAAGTTAATGAGATGCAGATTAGGAAATTAATGAGATGCAGATTAGGAAGTTAATGAGATGCATCACTTGCATGACTTAATTGGTGTCCCAGAGCCCTGAAGATGTGGGGGTGAAGCTGCCCTGCCTGTGCTCCTGTGGGATGTCAGGCAAGGTCTCCTCATTAATTAGAGGCTCAGGACAGAGCCCAGTGGGATGTGAGTGAGGAAAGCAGCATCTTGCTGCGTGCCTTTAGTTAAAATTCAGATTTACCCTCTTTTCTGTGAAGCACACGTGGGTTTTTTGCCATCCAGCTGCAGGTTTGGGTGCAGGAATCCTGCTGAATATCGTGGAATGATTTGGTGGGGACTGCCTGGACTCGAGCTGCCTGAGGAGGGCTTGTGCAGCACGTTTGACTCCTCACCTTGCTTCACATCCCAGAACATTCCCTGTGGGTTTTCCTGCCATCCCAGCCACTCTGTGGGATTATTCTGCAGCCTGTGTCCCTCAGGGAAGCTTGCTTAGGTGTTTGTTTCCAAATAACTTCTTGCCTCAGCTGAAGAATGGGAAGGTTTGTATTGGTGTGGTGGGAAATTCCTGATGTAAAACCTTTCCCTCAGATCAGGAATTTCCTGTCCAGTGCTTAATCTCCAGGATGTATTTGAGTGATGGATGCTGGCTGAAGACACCCAGGGAAATCCAGCTTCTGTGCAGACAGCTGAGCTGCTCCCTGCCCTCAGCCAGTGCCTCTGACCCTGTCCCTGCCCTGAAGGGACACTAACCTTGCACTGAAATCACATTTCAGCTGGGTTTAAGGTTGTGAGGATTGATTTGTGTGCTGCAAGCCTCATTTGGAGCCCAGCAGTGCCACCCCTGTTGTCTCCTAATTCTTCTTTCTCCTTTTCTCTTTGCAGCTGAACCTGCAGACCTCTTGAAGGTGTTAGACTTTCATAATTTACCTGATGGTATCACAAAAACCACGGGGTTTTGCACAAGCAGAAGATCTTCAAAAGAAGCAGATGTTGCTTACAGAGTAACAAAAGATGCTCAGCTCAGTGCCCCAACAAAGCAGCTGTATCCTGGTGAGTCCAGCTTTTGATTTGCCCCATGGAAATGTCTGATTCCTTCATTTCCCCAGTGTGTTTGCAGTGATTCTGCTCTTTCAGGGGGCTGCAGATTTCCAGCCCATCAAATAATTTCCTTTTATCCCTGTGTTTGCACGAGGTGGTGACCAGTGCCACCTCTGCTCCCTCCCAGATTGGGAAATTCCTCCTCTCTCACTCTGGCAGGGTGACAGCAGCTGGGGACAGAGGCAGAGGAGCCCAGGCTGGGGTTTGTTCTGTGCCTGGGGAGTGCCCAGCACAGTGGGATCTGCTTCTGGGGCTCTGCTGTCTCTCCTAACACAAATAATCACCAGATAAAAATAACTGAGGCCGGCCCACAGCAACAGATGTCCTGAGAAAAGTTGTTTGGAGGGATGGGAGGCTCTTCAGAGGAAGGCACAAAGCCCTTGAAGAGCGCTGCCCATTTGATTGCTGCCTGAGCTGAATTTTTTGGGCCGAGGCGTTATCACTATGTGTTTGTAAGAAGAAGTTGTGGACCCCAACCTGCCTGAGAGGCAGTCAGCACCAGAATTGTTCCTTCCCAAGCCATCCAGATGTCCCTGATAAAGGAAAGGAAAGGAAAGGAAAGGAAAGGAAAGGAAAGGAAAGGAAAGGAAAGGAAAGGAAAGGAAAGGAAAGGAAAGGAAGCTGCTTGTGCCTGATGTGGGAGGCAGAAGGGGATTTCAGCAGAGCAGGCACACACATCCTCCCTCATTGCTTGGAAGGGGATGAATGGATTGGCTAAATCAGAGCTAATGGGCTGTGCCACCATCAATGTTTTTAATTAACCCGGGCATCCCTCAGGCCCAGCCTGGCAGAGGCACAAATGAAGACTTGGAGGCTGGGCTGAGGATGTGCTCCCAACCCTCCCCTCCTGTGCTTCCCTGGTTGTTGAAGTTCTTTCCAGCCTTCATCATTATCCTGCTGTGACAATAATTGTATTTAATCCATGGTGAGCAGAAGCACAGGCTGGGTCTCACCTAAAAACTGAGCCTGATGTGATGAGGGCAACGTGGGACAGGCTGGGCTTCATTGCATGGCCAACCCTTAGCAAAGGAGCTGCTCAGTCTGGCCTAAAGCTGGGCTTAAATGTCTGCAGAAGGGCAAACCAGACCCTAAATTTGTCTTTATTGCTGTCCAGGGCAGGAAATTTCTTTCTGATGACAGACAAAGTCTTTGTGTGCCCAGCTGGACAGGCTGTGCCTTCCTGTCCCTTCATGGCATGCTCCTGAAATGACTTAAAATTTTAGGCCTGGTGTCTACAAGCTCCAAAGTGTTAAGAGGAAATGTTCCAGTTTGGAATATCCAGCTGGAGTGGATTTGAGAGCTTCCAGTAGTTTCTGTAGCCACTGTGACCAGTCTTGCCTGGTCACTTTTATGTAACAGAAACCAGCAAATGGTGGAGTAAAAACAAGGCTGGAACATTCTGGCTGATTGTTTAACAAGGGATTGGATCACAGCAGGTCTGACCTAGGGAACACAAGAACAGAGAGCTGAGCCCTGGAGAGAACTGAATCCTGGAGAAAACTGAATCCTGGTCCCTGGAAAGAGCTGAATCCTGGGAAAAACTGAATCCTGGTCCCTGGAGAGAGCTGAATCCTGGAGAGAACTGAGTCCTGGTGTCAGGAAAGAGCTCAGTGTTGAAGATTTTCTTGGTTGTCTCTTTTATACCTTATTGCTTTTATATCCTCACCCTCACTGAGTTCTTGGTTTGCATCTTCCTTGGGTGGGAGGACCTGGATGGAGTTATGGAGGAGCTTTTCCATCATTTCATCTCCTGGACAGCCACGGGGTGTTTGAAGCAGCTCAGTCCCACTTTGAAAACTTCCAGAGTCCTTGAGGATTCTCTGCTGCTTGCTCAGGAAATAGGGAAGAGCCAAGTGAAGAACTCCCAGTGTTTTCCAGCAGATCCACGGGTGTTTCCTCATCTCTTTAACAAGATGTGACTTCAGCTCCCACCCCCAGATGAGAGGGGATAAAGATAACACAGAAATTGCAGGGCAGTGTCCCAGGGGAATGTGGTTTTAGGGCTTTTGTGTCACAAGGAGGGTGGGTTGGAGCAGAGCTTTCCCTCCCTGCTCCACAGCACCCTTGGCAAACATGCTCTGCACAGAATATTTTCTGCTAATTAGAAGTTGGTACTTTTCTAAGATGTAATTTCATGGGCTTTGCATTCTGCTGCCACAGCCAGCAAAGCAAGATGTATATGCGTGTATATATATAAATATATATATACACAGAAAGCTTGTTTTTTTATGCTCAAAGGAGTGAAAAAAAAATCTGCTGAGATGCTTTTTGTCCTGGCTCCCTGAAGAAGTCCTGCTTCCCAACAAAATCTGTGCTTTTCCAGAAAGAAAAGCAAGAGAAAAAGAAGCAAGAAAGGCAAGGGTTTCAGTGGCAGCAAGCACAATGTCATTTGTGTGCTTCCATCAAATTTGCAGTTGTCATTTGCCTTCTCAGAAATCACTGTTAGAGCTTGAACAGTCACCCCTGAGAAAAACAAGTCATTGCACAGCTGAGAGTCTGAAGGAAAACACCAGAAATTGGTGACACCATTGGAAAGCAGCTTTGCTTTGAAGAGGAAAAGTGTAAAGGCTCAGGAAATGCCACTTTTCTCTTGGTGTTTGTGGCAGGAATGGGATCAGCTCTTTTCTGATTTTTTTGCTGTTTAGCAGCTCAAGCTTTCCTGCCCTTCCCAGACCAGGAGCAGGACTCTGGTTTAGGCTGTGTTTATGTCCCCCTGGATTAGGAAGAAGGTCTCAGGAGCAGGACTCTGGCTACACCTTGATTAGGAAGATCTCAGGAGCAGCTCTCTGGTTTACGCTGTGTTTAGGTTTCCCTGGATTAGGAAGGTCTCAGGAGCAGCACTCTGGTTTAGGCTGTGTTTAGGCACACCTGGATCAGGAAGAAGGTCCAAACTTGCCGTTTTGAAGACCACAAGTTTCTACAAGAGCCTTCAATCACCGTGCTCAAGCAAGAAGGTGCTCAGCCTGACTCTGGCTCATCCATTGCAGCATCCCATGGATGCAGCCATGCCCACCCTGGAGCTCTGCAGCTTCAGCAGGGTTGGGGGCTCCCCCCGTGCTGTGGGAGGTCCCATAGGGTGGGTTTGGGAGGCTTTGGCCACGGGGTGGGAGCAGGATGCCAGCCAGCCCCAGCGATGGATGCGCAGCATCTCCCAGCGTGAGCTCGTTTGAGGAGTGAATCCAAGAGGAGGACTCCATCCCCAAGCCTTTGTTGGGTGGTGTCTCCATTGTTTTGGAGGGATTTGGGTCAATTTCTCCCTGCTTGGTGTATTTATGCTGATGTATTTATCAGTATTGGTGTGTGTGGGGATGTGTTTTCATCCCTCGTTCAGCAGCCCGGGTCATTTCTGCCTCTGACAGTGCAGGCATTGTTATTTTGCCAGGACAGCAGAGCAGTAACAGAGTAATGTCAGCTATAATTCATCCATTATGATTATTTGGGTTGAGAAACTCGCATCACCATGGAGACATTTTGATAATAATGAAAAAAAAAATTAAAAGCAGCTTTTTAATGAGTTGGCAGCTTGTCCAAGTTGAAAGGTACTGTATTGTGGGTTCATAATGAAATTTTGGACATGAACTATTTTACATAAAAGGCCCAAATCTGTAGGCTGTAATTGGAGCCAGGAAGGCGTATGGTCCTGCCTCAGTCCTCCAGGAGGGTTTGTGCACAGGGGAGGGAGATAAAGCTCAGGGCATCTTGTGGGAGGCACCAAAACCAGAGCTGCTTTGGCCAAATATCTGGGGCTGAGTCCTGGGGATAAATCAGAATATAATGGCATTTAATTCCTGACTGGGAGGTCCCTCTGCTGCTTTCTGCTGCTTCCCAAATGTTATTTACCCAAGGTGAGGGGGATTAACTTGGTACAAAGTGTTTCTCCATAGGTATCCTCAGGTATCCCCCTGAAATTCTCCCTTTGCTCTGCAGCAATTCAGTTTTGATGCAGCTCCTGCCTCATTCTCTTCCCTGCTGTAGGCAGATAAATAAATTAAAAACACTTTGTTCCTAATAATTAAAGCACCTCCCAGTCAGGAGAGGAAGAGGATGAGCTCAGGGTTTCTGTGTTTGAGCTCCAACTTCGCTGTGGTGCCAAGAACTCCCCACTGCCACGTTCCTCATGCCCTCCCTGGGTGAAACCCCCCCCGAGGAAAAACCTAAAGAAGTGAAGGAAATCTATTTGAAGCTTCTGGGCACTGAGCTTGATGGTTTTTGTGGTTTATTTGGCTGCACATCTGCAGTTTAAACAGGATCCCTGTGTTCCCTGGGTGCCACCAGTGCCACACGTGTCACAAACCCCACTGTGGGGCTGCCCCGCTCTGCTCTGCCCTGCTCTGGTGGAAGATTTCTCCAGAGGTACAAAGCAATCCTCGGTTTGCTCCTGGAGGAGATTCCCTGAAGGCCCCATGCTCTGAAATGCAGCATCAGGGGGGTTGTGTGTGTAATTTGACCAAGAAATCTTTTTTATGAATGCTCCTGGTGGTTTTCAAGCTGCCCTGTTTGGGATGTGCATCCAGGATTTTCAGTTTGGGCTCATTTTTTTTTTTCAGTCTGAACAGCAGAGGAACCCAAAGATGACGGAAGAATTTGGGTTTCTGCAAGAAGGTGATGCTCAGATTGAAACTTTAAATACGTTTGCCTGGCCTTGCAGGTTGACCCTGCACTGACAGACTTTAATGGCTTTAATCCTCCAAACCTTGCAGAAATAAAGACAGAAATCACCTGTGATCAGACACAGCTCTTTCCTGAGAGGAGGAAAGGTCAGGAAATTAGATGCTGTTTAATAAGCAGAGAAATTAGCATTTTCCATTGATTGCCAGACTTATTTCCTTTTTCAGATTTTTTTTTTGTGTGTGTCTGCAGCAGCCCTGAAAGCCAAAACCACGAAATCCTCTGTTCTCATCTGGAATGAACAAATCCTGGTGCAATTCTCTGCTCCCTGAAATAAAAACCCTTCAAGATTGTGTTGATGCTTGATTTCCTCTGTCCTTTCTACAACTTAAATTCATTTGGAGCACCCCATGGAAGTTTTTTGCCTTGTGTCCTAAAAAGATTTAAGGGAGCTTCTTTTGGAAGGGTTGGGTGCAAAAAATACAAATTTAACCCAATGACTTCTGTAGAACTTTTGTTTCCCCAGCACAGGAGTTTCACCCCAGAGTATTTGGGGAAAAGCCACGTTTTCAGCTGGCCCTATATAAACATTTAGGGCTGCTGATGTGCACACATCTGGGGACAAACCAGCCGTGGCTTCTCAGACAACAGCACTGTTGATGTAGGGATTATTTCCAAGGAAACCTCACTAACCTCTTTGCTTTTCCACTCCAGCTTCCCCCTTCCCAGAGGACTTCTCCATTCTAACCACTGTAAAAGCGAAGAAAGGAGGTCAGTCCTTCTTGATCTCAATTTACAATGAGCAAGGGATCCAGCAAATTGGTGTGGAGTTGGGTAGATCTCCTGTATTCCTGTATGAAGACCATACAGGAAAGCCAGGCCCAGAAGACTATCCTCTCTTTAGAGGCATTAACCTAGCAGATGGCAAGTAAGTGACATTTTGTGCACCAAGGAAAAAACAGTTCATTGTTTGTATCCATGCCAGCATGCTGAACATTGTATAAAATAGGAATCGTGCCTGTAGAAATGTATTTGCACACCCCTGGCAGCTGACAGGTGCCCCAGTCTGTCATTTTGCCCTTTGGTGGATTAATCTGACACCTGTAAGAATTGTAAATGAGCAGTCAGTGCTGCTGTCTGGTACTTGTGGGGATAGGGACATTGATTTTCCTGCGAAGGGCCTTAAAAAAAAAAAATCAGTTTGTCGTGAAAAATCCAGGCTGAGGCTTGTGCAGGGCTTAAAAAGAGGGTGGAAAAGGGAGACAACAGTGGTTTTATCCCTGCTTTTTGCTGAAGCCAGAGCTGGCCCTCTCCTGCCTGATTTGGAGGGATGAAAGCTGTCAATCAGCATTTCTCTTGCCAACCAACCCTTTAGGCTCTGCCCAGGGAGGATTTCCAGGAAAGTTCGCAGAGCATCAATTCCTGAAAGTTCATTTTTTTTGTGCAATCATTGCCTTGTCCTGCAAAGCCCAGGGCTGTGCCTGACACGTCTGTGGGCTGTGTTCTCACAGGTGGCACCGAGTGGCTCTGAGTGTGCAGAAGAAAAACGTCACCTTGGTTCTGGACTGCAAAAAGAAAATCACCAAGTTCCTGGACCGGAGCGAGCATCCCATCATCGACGTCAACGGCATCATCGTGTTCGGCACCAGGATATTGGATGAGGAGGTCTTTGAGGTGAGCCACGGCAAGGAGCAGCTCTGGAGCTGTTCCACAGGGGTGATGAGGCACTTCCAGCTCGTTTTTGAAATGTTTGGGTGCTTTTCTTCCGTAGTAGAACGCTGTTGTTTGTGATTTTTGAGGTTTTATTTCCACTTTTTGTGGTGCTGATGAAAACTGGGGGCCAGGTGGCCTTGGTGGAGTGAGCTCCTCTGGTTGTCTGGTTTCAAGCCCTTGCTGGGGTTCTGGACCATCTCTGCCTTGGGATTTTGGAGCTCTTGGCACATTTAATCTGGGAAGGGCTCACAAGGTTTTCATCCATCCCCGAGCTGGGATTTAGAGCTGCAGGGGCAGTGAATGAAGGCTGAGGGAAGCAGCTCCCTCCCAAGTCCCAGCTCACCCTGGGGCTGTAGGAATTTGCTCTTTTTCCACTCATTGGCCATGGGTTCTTGATTCTTTTGCTCCATGACACGAGGGGACTCTCCTTGACAGCTTGGTTGGCTTGGTTGTCACCTCCCACACTCTGTTTCCAAAGGCAAAGCAAATTCCTGAGGGGTGGGATGTTCCCATGAGCCCCTGTGATGGAAGCAGAGAGGCAGAGCATTATTTATAGACAAGGTACAGATGGGAGAAGCTTTTTCCCATAGTTCAGCAGCATTTTAATATCTGCATTTCCCTGGCAAAATCAACTTTTGTGCTCTGCTGCACTTGAGGCTTTCCTGAGGATGAGAATCCCATTCCTGATCTTTCTTGTGAGTTGGAATTGCTTCCTAAAACCAGCACCAAGTGCAATGGGGTGTAATCAAGCCCTGTTGATCTCTAGATCTTTATTTTTATGGAATTTATTTAGAGGAAGAGCTGGATCTCTTGTTACTCCCCAGCCCAGCAAAGGGCTGGGAATATCTCCTATCCCTGGCTAATCAGAGCCATAGCAAAGCCAGTTCTTGCCTGCATTTTGCTGTCACTCAGAGGGAAAGTTCCAGTCTGTTTAATATTACCAACATCTGGGAGCTGCTCTGCTGTAAACAGAGCAGGAATCCTGGGCTGGATGGATCTGCCAAAATCCCAGTTACAGAGTGAGGCCTGGATCTCGAAATTGTATTAAATTAAGAGACATTCCCTGGGAAGTTGAAAAATTAAAATGGAAAGTAAAATCTGGGTTTAATGGGCACTGGAGTGTCTTTCACAAGTGTTGGACATTGTGCCAAATGTTTCAGCACTGGATGCTGTGTTTTGACTTGTTACATAAAAGTGGTGAGTTCTTCTCCAGCTCAGGTCCAGTAGAGCCACTGGAAGGACTTGGTGTCACATCCAGGCTGGATGAAAAACCTGCACTTTCATTTTGTGAAATAACAGGATTTCCAGAACTGCCTCTGAGAGCTGGGGGTTCCCAGGTGGCTTTTAGGGTTCACCTGACTTTGGGGCAGCTGATTCCTCTGCCAGGGAGGGAACTGAACCCAGGTGTTCATTGGTGCTCCCTGCTCCTCTTCTAGCCCTTTCCATGGCCATGGCTCCCCTGCTGTAAATACTTTAAATCCTGAGGGGCTGTGGCACTGATGCCTCAGGTTTAGCTTTTCTATTTTTCACATTCTGTGCTGCTGTAGTGTGCAGGTAGGGGCTTCACATCAGGGGATGGTGATCTCTGCACAGAGAAGGGAGACAAAACAATTTCTGCTCCAGCTGGGCACCAAGGACAAATGATCCAAATCTCAGGCCCAAGAGCACAAACAAGATGGGGTGGAGAGAGAAAAACAAGCAGGATGGGAGTGCAGGGGCTGAGCTGGAATTGGACAATGAACTGCAATGTGCACATGGAGCAGAGCTGATCCCAGGGAGAGACCCCGTGAGCACTCGTGCATTTTGGGACCATTTTGGTTCATCTTGGGTGCAGACCTGGCTGGGCTCTTGTGCTGCCCGGGGTGCATCCATGGAGGCCTTTTAATAAATCCCTGCTTTATCCTGTAACTCTGTCCAGCCTCTGCTCTAGCTCAGCCTTCCCAAGGCATCAGGACCTCCTCAGGTTTTGGGTGCAAAGGAGCCTCTTGCCTGTTCGGGCTGTGAGTTCAGCTACAAGATCTTGCTGGCACTTATGAGATGTGGGTCATTAGAAAATACTTTTTTTTTTCTTTGTCTTACATGTACTGATATTACACAAGATGGATATAAACCCCCTCTAGTTCTGATATTTATCCTTTTTTTCTTTTTTTTTTTTGGTCACCTCCTCACGCACCACTGAACCCACCAGCAGCTTTAACTGGGGTGGAAGAAGCTTTTCTGAAGTCAGTGGACTAGAACCTAATTTCCTTCATATCTCAGCAACTCCATTTCCTTTGGCCCCTCCTTTCTCCTTTCTGCAAGGCTAAGCAGAAATTGTGCAGGCTCAGAACAAAGGGTTCCATGTCTGTGTTCCTGGAAAGCTGAGGGATTCTGGAGCATGTGCAGGAGGTGAAGCTGCTGCTGTCCCACCCAACCTGCAAACCCCAGCTAGGGAGGTTTTCTGCTCTGATGTGTTTGTCATTTTTGCTGGAAATTAAAAGAACCCAGTGAGGTGGGAGTGGGGTTGGAGACAGGGCTGGGGTTGGCTCTGTGTCTCACAGGAGCTGTAAAGCAGTGGGAATTCATCTCCTCCTTGTCAGGACTGAAATCAAACCAGCCCCAAACACTTTTTGTTTTGGAAGCTGTAATTATTGAAAGGCTGGGGTTGTGAGGGGAGCAGCTCGAGAGCGCGGATGGGAACTTCCTCACTCATGTTTCTGCTGCAAAAAAAAAACCAAAAAAACACTTAAAAAAAAGCCTGGCAGGAAAGGTTAGGGGAGTTTCAAAATATTTCTCTAGCAAAACATTCTTCCAGTGGAAAAATGACTTCCTCTCATTAAAATTCAATTAGCTGGGAGGCTGTGAGGGTCTCTGTACGGGACTGGGGAGGGTTGAAAAGGGGCCAAGCCCTGAGCCCAGGTTGGACAAGTTGAGTTTTGTGCTGGGTTTGTTGTAAACAGGAGTTTACAAATGGCAGGACAGGCTCTTGCAGGGTTGGGAGGGTTCAAGCTGTGTCTGAGGGGATGAGACTGCAAAGGGATTTTTTTTTTTTTATTTTGCAGGGAGAGAGGGAAGGACAAAAATCCAGCCTGTGGTGGTGGATAAATTCTCTCTGCTGCAGTCAGAGGGGTTCCTGTGGTGCAGCAGCACTGGAGGGAGTGAAACCATGTGAATGTGTCTCAGTTTTAGAAGGAAAAACTCCTTTTCATTTGCTTTCTTTTAAATATAAATTAGAAACCAAGTCCTAGTGGTTGAATGTAGGAATAGAGAGAGGGGGAAGCTTGGGAAAGGCTCTTTTGCAGGAAAAAAAAACCCAACAAAACAAACATTTTCAGCTTGAAAGCCAGGAAGAATTCCCAAACCATCCTGGTGATGCCCATTTTGTGCCCATGGTCTGTCACAGCTGGATCCCAGCAGGGCATCCCAAAACCCACAGCTGGGGGATCTTTGTGGGGGGAAAATGCCCCCAAGCCTGGGCAGGGAAATGTTTCCACCCCTGGGCTGAATTTAACCCCTTTGTGGGGCTGTTTGGAGGCATCTCAGGGAAGAAGCTTAATGAGAAATTTGGTTTCTGCAGCAGGGAGGGGCCCAGCCCTGTTTTTCTGCTCTGTGGTACTCCAGTGATGAGCAAAATGAGCTTTGTTCAGACCTTGCTGATCCATTTTCCTGCTGCATTTCCCATTTTGTCCCCTGATTTTCCAGCCAGGGGCTATTGTGTGCTGATAAAAGTCTGTTACAGCCCCTGGCTCCAGAGCTGGAGTTGGCATCATTAAATTGTGGCGTGGACATGGGTGAAAAATTGAGTAGGTTTTGGCAAAAATGCTGAGAACAGCCAAGAACGAGTGACTGCTTTCACTGCCAATTTTTTTTGGTTCATCTGTGTAAAATTTTGCAGCCTTGTCCCACAAGTTAAGTGGGGTTTTGACCCTCTTGGTTTGCAGCAGTGCCTGGAGTGGCTGAACTGACTTTTCCCATGTGTGGAAAAGCTCAGGGCAGGAATATATTGCTTTTTAAGGTCACTTTTGGCTCCTTTAGAAGAAAAGAGGAGTTAATTTTGTGCAGCTGAGTGCCATAACTGTGTCTCAGTGGTGTAGTTGGCGCTGTAAAACCTAAAAAAAGTGGATTCCTCTGATCTCAGCACCTGTGGCCAGGAGGGGCTGACAAAAATTGTGCCAAAACCTGTCCTGGGATGGGACGCAGCACCCTGGAGGGTGCTGAAAGATGCTGCTTTTGATTTCTTCTCCTCCTTTGTGATTTTTTTTTTGTTGTTGTTGTTTGTTTTTCTGAAGCCCACGAGTGAAATCAAGCCATCAGAAATGGAGGGAAAGCAATTTGGGATGAGCCAGAGAGGCCGGGCAGGGTGCCAGAGGTGCTCTTAGGGCTGCTGAGAGTTCCAAGGCAGCTCAGGACAAAGCAGGACAGACACATCAATGCGCCCAGCCCAGACATTGGGGCCCTTCTGCTGCTCTTGGGGTTGAAATGCCACCTCTCTTTTCATCTTGGGCCTTGTTGACACTCAAAAAACCAATTATCCCTGGGGTTGATAATCCCAGATTTCATTTCACTCTCATCAGGGTTTTCTCCTTCCCTCCCCAGCTCTTGGCTGTGGTGTTTGCATCTCTGGGAAGTGCTCTTGTTTTCTAAGTTTTGTGGGTTATTTTACTCTCAGCTTGTAAGGTTGGATCAAAAGCTTTTGATTTAGTGGAAGGGGTAGAAATAAAAGGACATTTTTGTACATGTGGGTGCATTTTATGGTGGTTTTTGCTGTTTTTGGGGATGGAGAAGTTTCAGAGCCTCCTGTTGCAGGCAGATCTGCTGTTAACACATCAAAGAGCTCTGTCCACTCCAGGAGGAGATTAATTCTGTCTTCCCTCCAGGACTGGTGTGCTGGGGTGCAGAGAACTTGGAGAAATTTCTGCTAATTTAAGTTAGACTTTGTCAGCTCCTCAGGTCTGAATCCACGTCTAATTCATGTTTAGACC